TAAGCTACAGAACAAGCCACAGTCAATCATGGGGAGGCTACTGTGAAGTAGAGAGCTTTGGAGTCTGTGCTGGTTCCTGGTACAGCCAGAATCTGAGGGGCACAAAGGTAGTTTAAGACCACATTTCTCCACATTCATCTTGGCTACTCTATCTCTTTCACATGCAGAAATCATCCCTCCTTTGCTATATTGTTTAGTTTTCGTTATTACTTCTTTACTGTTTTGGTTCCTGAAAGAGTAAATAAAATGAACCAAAAAGAAAGAAAGAAAAGAGCCTAGGATTATTCTAAGCTTGCTTTTATAAGCTACATGCACGTCTCTGATACGATATATAGCGGATCATTTGAGATTAGGAACTTAGAGCTTTTATTGGGGAGATGGTAATGATGGGATGCAGATAGAAAAATAGCAAAGCGAATAGATAGAATGCTGCTGCACGCAATCTCTCTGCCTCTCCCCAGTAGACAAAATTATTCTTGTATTAAGCATTCGGCTTCTTTGTCTTTAAAGACCAAAGCTCCTTCAAGCTCTGAAACTTAACCAGAGATTTTATGTTTCGTATCTTGGCTTGTAGCAGGGACATAAGATATCATGCAAGACATGGACCTTGGTGTCTTTATGAAAGCAAGCTGTGGCCTATGAAAATTTTTGCAACCTCTTAAGAATATATCTAGTGAGGAAAACAAGTAATCGAGAATTTATTTTTAACACCACATGCACTTGGCTTCATACTGAATTGCAGAAGCCTGATGTTTTCTTGCTTTTCCAGTGTCCTAGCAAGCAGAGAGGAAATTGGTGGTGGGGACAGCATGGAGTAGAAGGCACAAGGGACCACAGGTGCTAATCCCGGCTCTGATACTGGGTGACTGTAAGCCTGGGCAAGTCACTTTGCTTCACAGTTCCCTATCAGTAAAGAACAGGAGGTTAATACTTGTAATGCTTCTCTCATGTGAAATGCAAGGATTAGAAGAGCTGGTGTGTGTCCAGAGCATCCAAGATGTGAGAGCTAAGTGCTCTTACAGAGTCCTTTGTCCTAATATACCTCCTCTCTGTATTATCACAGCAGATAGTGTGCATGCTGCCAGCCAGAGGCTGGGTCTTTACTTTCCTTGAACCTCCTTGCAATGGCTATTACAGAGCAGGGTTTCCTATGTTTTTACAGTGGGAATACTGATGCTGTCAATCTTACATAGACAGGATTTAAAAAAAAAAAGCTTCATTCACCAGTAAGTTACTTTTCATCTCCAAATGTAATAGGAGACTAGTTCTGGTTAATGTTCTGGGATTTTTAGAATTTGCTTGCTTGCTTAGAATAAATGGGAAAAGTAGTTCTATAGTGAGATGACAACCTGTCACATCTGAGAAAGATAAAAGGGAAGGGGAAACTCGGGAAAATACTTCTTAGTGTTTTTCTCCCCTACAGGCTATGTGTTATTTACCTTCTCCTAGATCCCCCAAGAGTTGGCATTGGCATACTTCCAATCCTATAGCACTTTGCTAAAGTAAAGTGATGTGAACTCAGGAGATCTGGATTCCTTTCTGTGCCACGGATTCATGAAAGATGTAGTGTCTGTATGCCTTATTTTCCAGCCTTTGGAATAATGTTCTTTCTTACCTTTGCTTTTTCTGTTTGGCTTTTCAGAGTGTGTATTCTCTTCTTTTATGGAGTCACTCAGACACACTCACACATACACAGATGGATGGATAGATACAGATATACAGCATTTAGTGAGGATTGTGTAAGCCGTACAGTGATAGTTAGAACCAGTGCAACACTTGGAAATGTTTAAACCCCTTTTGTTGGCCTGTTTGGAAATAACATGTGTACTACTACTGTGCCATGTAATGCGCCAGCAAAACATTGGCTTGCACAGAGATGGAGGCAGGTGCTGAATTATGCCCTTGTTTAATCGAAAATCTCCTAGTTGGGGGCTGTCCTAAAAAAAAATGCATTGTACTGGAGGGAATAGTGTTGGCGGGTAACCAGCTGCAAATATGAACTCAGAAATCCTAGCTGCAACATAAATGTAGTACTTGTGGAATGATCCCTGCAGCATTTATTTCTTGGACTTGACCACTGGGGGATGTGTTTGTTGTCCTTCTCACTCCTGTCACGTTGGGGGCTTTGTCAGATCAGAATACATCATCGCTGTGCTTCTCTGTGTCCCTTGAGTTGTCATAGGCACAAATATTTTTCAAATGTTCTCCCCTGTTCATTTCCATTATTATATCTGGTGCTTCTAGGTGGCAAGCAAAAATGAATAACCTTATAAATGCTCCCTGTCTTTCAATTTGTTTTATTTTTCATACAACGTGTCAGTGCATTTTTGTTGAGTGTTTTTAATAAGACGAAGTTGATGAAAATAAATTGCTTTGCAGTTCCTGCTGTGGGTGACAGGAATGCCTGGGTCTGTAATTTTCCAAAACTGTGCATTTGAAAGCAGTGTGGAGGGTGTTCTGTATGCCTGTAATTGCAATCATCTTCGTAAAATACCTCCCAGGAAAAGAAAGCAGCTAGCAATTTAAGTTTTGGGGGCAAAATGCACTGCTGTATCCACCTTCTGCTGGGCACAGTGAGAGAGGGAGCTGTCAAGGAGAATTTTAGGATTGATTCTGTGCCAGGCTTGGGTCTGCCAGATGGGATAGTTAACCAGATCTGTCTCTAGTATGAGAGGGAGAATGAATTATATAGCAAACCCTCCTACCAGAGTGTCTGTTAGCCAAGGCTTGGAAAGTGAGGGTTGGGACTTGAAAATGTGGACACCCCAGTGCCCATGACTACTGCATATCGGCTTTCTTCTGGGCGGTTCAATGTCTTGCTCAAAAAATGTAATGCAGATAAATGATGATCTCCATATTACCAAGGTGTACTTAGTAGACAATCTGGTAACTACTCATCTTTTCTTGGAGAGAAGATAACCCACATATTCCAAATGTGATTTTCAAGTCAAGATTTTTTTTTTTTTTACTCATTTTAATGAAAAAAGGTCAATATTACCATATTTCTTGTAACTGTGTCTATTTTGATAAAAATTGCAGAAAATACCATTTTAATTTCCTGAAGTTTAGAATTTCATTTTGTTGTCCACTTTTTTATGCTTTTGTACTACTTACTTAGCTGGCAAGACAATATTAATGTCTGTCTCTTACTGCATTCTCTGCTGCATTTCTGTAAGGCAGGGAAATGCTTTCTCCTCGTGCTGGCTGGGAGCTGACACATGGAAGTCGCACAGGAGCTGATGATGGACCAGGAGCTCAGGTCCCACTTTTGCAACTTCAAGGCTAATGCCATTATCATTAAGCCAATTTTACTTTCCTCAGAACAGCTTTTACTCCTTCTACTGTTCCATCTTTTTAGAAACATTGAAAAGAGGAATAATTAAGCCCCCAAATTTATAATAATCTTCTCCTCTTTCCATTTCAAATTTAGAAATTTCCTCCAAGATTGTGCTGCTTGAGGTACAGAAAAGACAGTATCCTGGATTAGTTATTTTCCTTGTCCACTCAAATTTGAAGAGGTGGATTAATACTGGTAATAAAACTAGCTTGCTGTAAAGCAAAGCATTGAGAGATAGGGATCATACTGCCCATACAGTTTAGCCTAATCTGCTGTGCTGTTTGGAGGAGGGGACAGAAAATTCAAAATTTGGAAAAATATCTAATTCTTGTTTGCAAGTTATCTGGTGATGGCTCTCAAACTGCCAAAGGTTGTTCACCTGTTCACCCTTGCATTGTTGCTGAAACTACCTTTCAGATCACATGCCTTGCTATGCAGCCCTGAAGCTCACTTCAAAGGAGTTAGGCAATAAGGAAGGAAAACAGTTTTCTCTCTCTTACAGGGTTTAAACCAGCTAACAGAGCCAAAGAACAAAAGTGATTTTTCAGTAAAAATAATAATAATTTGTTGTTTATACTTGTCATATATATTTGTCAATAAATAATCTCACTGCATAATTTCTTCATTCTGTATTAGACTAGTATATGCTGGGCAAACAAGCAAGGAGACTGTAGAGCACAAAATCACAACGGAGATGGAAAAAGTCCATGGAGGTTTCAAGCAATCCTCTTGCCAATGGAAGTCTATTGCTTAGTCCATATTATTTCTGGTTTATTTTTAAATGGTTCAGTTGACGGTGTTCCTGCCACTTCCCTGGGGAAACTATTTCATTCCCACTATTAGGCAACATTTCCAGAGATTTATACTAAGTTTTCCTCTGCTTGGCTGCCTTTCATTACCCCTACTTACAACAAGACGGTCCATCCGTGGCAAGTCCTTTCCTTCCAGAAGATTTTGCTCGTCTCTCTATGACTGCCAGGAGTGCTATGTGAGGTCTGGGGTTTCCTCCTGTCTTGCTCCTAGGTCCCCGTTGTGCCGCGTTTATTCACTCAGTATCACATTTTTCACATGTGAGTTGCAAGGGAGGGCAGCTACTCCAGCAAATCACTGCTGTTCAGCAGCGAAAGCTGAAGCCCTTACGTAGGCTGCACACATTTAGTTCTTTTTATCTTTTTCATAATTTAAACGATTCACCTGTTTTTTTTAATTCCCTCTAGTTTGTTAACATCTGTCTGGTTCTCAGGTGTCCAAGACAGAACAGTATGTGAGTGCAGCTTTGCCACAGCTGTTTCATAAAAGAACTGTCAGCTTGGTTAAGGGACCTGAGGCTTCCGAGTACGCAGTCTCACTCCACAGTAGCTTTAAGAGCTTATACCTGATTATTCTCTTCTTCCCTTCCTGGTCTTTTGAGTCATTTTTGGCTTCCGGATTATCTCTCACTATTATATTGAACACTGAATCCAACAGTGGCATGTCTGAAGTTTGCAGAACCCCTGTTAAAAATATTAATCACTCCTGATTTTAAAATTCTGATTCTCTTCCACTGTTCTTTCCAGAAGTGTTCTCTTTGACCGCATGTAAATAGAGGTGTTTGTATATAACTGAGTGTGAGGGGGTTGGTATGATAATGTGCTTACAAAATCCTGGCTTTGTTATTTTCTAGGTATTTGGTGCTAGAACACGTGTCAGGTGGGGAGCTCTTCGACTATCTCGTAAAAAAGGGAAGATTGACACCGAAAGAAGCCAGGAAGTTCTTCCGACAAATCATCTCTGCTTTGGACTTCTGCCATAGTCATTCAATATGGTGAGTACAGCCATTTGCAATGGGAGTTACCTGTTACATGAAAGCACAGAATAAAGGGATCTTATTTCTTGATACTTTTATTTCCTATTAAGTAACTGATGTAGTAAAGCTCTAAAAGCATTGTGTAAAGTGCTGATGTATTTTTTAATTTTTGGCCGTCTGTGAGACAGTGCACCAGTCACAGATAGACTTTTCATGGAGAAGATTGTCTGTCATTTCTCACTGGAGGAGAATTCCTTCACAAGGAATGCTTTAACCGGGAAAACCAAAACCACCAAGGAAAAGCAGTTTAATTCCCATCATTCTTGGGGCACTTGCTGATAGAATTACATACACTATATCAAAATGAACCCCTGAAGAAACTTGGGACAATTACGAATACAGCAAAGTCATTTTATGGCTTCCTTCAGTTTTTGGAAACCTGCTGGCTTTTGGCAACCTTCACTGAGTCCCTTCTGGGCATTTGAGTCACTGTTGCCTTTAATTTCCTTTCCAGTAGGGAAGAATTTCCTTGATCTGTTATTGATACTCACTAACTCCATCATACGACTTAACTATCAAGTGTGGTTTAACCTGTGCTTTCAGGTGGTGTTTTAAATTGGACCAGTTTCTCCTTCATCTTCAGCAAGTTTAGGTAATTTAAATTATACTGAAATCAAGTTGTTGTAATCAGTCTGAGCACAGAGTTTCTGTATAGCTGTTGACCCATAACTGCCTGCTTATTTCTCAGAAATGCAGCTCCTCACAGTTAGATTGGCTGGGGGAGACCATTTACATTATGTCTGCACAGCTGCTTCTCCATAGCCATAGACAGCCGTAGATCCCCCCCTCCAGGAGGCCAAGGGCCACTGATAGATAACTGCAGTAGTTGGATTTGCATAATCACTGTGTGGTTACTTCTCAGTAACTGTACAGTGATTTTCTGTACCCCCGTTTTTGTGCTGAGAACCCGCAAACCAGATGTCCACAGCATAAATGGTCACAGCAAAAACGGATGCCTAAATATTTAACTTGCTCTTCTAGCCCCCTCCCTCTACATCTCTGATTCATTTTAACAGGAAATACTAATCTGAAAGAGATCATATTTCTAATAAATGGAAAGTGAAATAAGAGCCTTTCTTGAGGATATATTAAGAAGAGTATACTGTTAGCAGAAGAGGCACTTCAAAGGTGGTGAATCTGGGTGAGAAGGTCCTGAGGACAATGCCTACCTGGCACAGGCAGGGTTACAATAGTCAGAGAAATTCCCAGAGGAGCCAAAAGCAGGTTGCGTGCCCTAACTAGAGGATCTAAGTTTTCTCTGTTGGCAAAGACCTCTGACATGTTTTATTCTGCGAATTCCACAATTTGTCCTCCCTGCTAATCAACTGGGTTGAGTGATCATGACCTTCCTATAATCAGCATAGGTTGTACAGCTGTTATTTTTTATGTACACTGGGCAGTGTAACCACTGGTGGATTGCATACGTACATGTTTCTGTTCCCTACTTGGCTTAACACTTAGAGACCCAGTCCAAGAAGACTCAAAAATGTTTAACTACAACTGAAGAGAAATTACTTTTCCAAATGAATATTCCAGAGAAATACGAATCTCCATTGGGATAGAAGTTTCTCTGAAAGCATGCATATATACACATACATACTAGTCCTTTGGGCTTGTGATGGATACCTCTTGATATGGCAGACTTTAATAAACTGAGTGAGGATCGTGGTGAGGCTGTCAGACGTACAAGCACCTCTGCAGATTTAACGATACATGGAATTTCCAAGGCAGAGTGCATGTCTCTCTTGAGGAATCCATTTTCCTCCGTTAAACATATTGGATTGTGGGCAGTAGTCTTGTTTAGAAGTAAATCCCCTGTCTCCTTGCCAACTCCCACTCGACTAGCATCTAGTGCTGAATAAGTTAGCAGTAAATCATAAGCTCTTCCTCCCTCCAGGTCACTCTGAGACTTGTGTGGTCTGTGTAATATTAGACTCTGTGTTGTATTCTGGACAGTTATCATTAAACCCTTTTTGAAAATCAGAGCATGCATAAATATGCGTGTGTGTGTGTGTGTATAAAAGTTAATGTGCTTTCCTAAGCAATGAAGCTTGACCTTGTCCTGTCATGGGGCACTGAAATGACAAATCATCTCATCAGCCAGGTTATCCAGTTATGACCACATTGAAAAATGAAGGCTTCTGCTTTGGTTAATGACTAAATATGGGTGCCTCTAACCTACTGGCAGAATAGCTTGATAGTCTCGTGTCCCCAGCGCCATATCATTGTCCTATCTTCTTCCTGTACCTCCCAAAACACTGTGAAATGTCTGTGGCTTACTTTCACAGCAGTATGTAACCACATTCAGCTTTCACTGCTCAAAATGTATTGATACACCAGGATTCCCGGATCAAAGAATCAGAAAGGATTCCCCAATCCTCCCATCAGTAAAAGGCTTCTGCTGCTACTGTGTGGAGAGATCACCTGTGTCTGAGAGGTGTTTTCAAACAAGCAGCTCAGACAAGGAAGCGGAATAGGCTTGGAGCTTGAGTCTGTTTTGTGTGTTGTTTTAAAAGAGTATGAGTTTTCTGTTCTTATTTTATTTAGTGGAAACAGTGGGGGAAGATTTGATGTACCTCACTCTGAGGTGCAGTCACTTACGGGGTTTTGTGGTACAGGTTGGCCGGGGGAAAGCTTATAAGAAACCCACTGTAGAGTTCTCTAAGGGCTTTTCTGTGTACATAGCATTGTGCCGTGCTAGGGACCCACAGGCGTGGGTGTGAACAGACAGCACCGTGCAGAGGTATTATGTGGGATCCTGCAAACAGTGTATCTGTGTTACCTTGCTGCTTTGCCTGAGCTGGCAAGCAGAGTGGTTAGCTCAGTGATGCAGCATTATTGCTTCTGCTTCCAGCTCTTCCTCTGTGCTAGCTCGGAGGGCTCTGCACCATGCTGCAGTGCCCGGAGCAGATGCACTCAGCAGTAGTGCAAGAAGTGGCAGAGGAACCTGGGGTTCCTTGGACATCAGTGTAAGACCATCCTAGCCTAGGAAGTTTTCTTTGGACATAACTGATGGTTTTTTCCTAAGCTGCTGTTCACCTAATGCTGGGTGTCTGCTCTCCTAAATTCAGGGCCTTTAAGATGTCTCAGCTGGGTGCCCCAAATCAATAGTCCCTTTTGAATATCCTGCCTCTGTACTGTGGGGGAGGTCTCAGCTAATTCAGTGCCGGCTGTATTTTCTGTCAGAAACAATGTAGGAGCACGTATCAGGGTAGGTCGCAAATCCTTGCTTTCCTCAGGAAGAGTCTCTTTTATCTTGAGCGAGGGAACGCTGCAGCGCCAACGGAGGGTGGGAGCCGGGTGAGGAGAGCTGGCGGGCGCCTCATTGGCTGGGTGTGACATCACCAGCAAGAGCTGGGATTGGCAGTGTGTGTATTTTGTGTGTGTTGGGTTTTTGCTTTGGTCAAGCTCATATTTGGTGTCTGTATCTCACAAGCTGACAAATAAAAATATGATTACAGAAAATGCCCCGTGGCAAACCTTATTATGGCTTCAGAGATAACAGATAATGCCAATTACTGCACAGGGCAGCGGTGACATTGAGAGGAAATCCCCTGCGGTAATGAGCAGCAAGATGATTATTTCATTTTATTTTTATTTTGGTTGGGTTTCATTTTGTGTTTTTTTTTCCTGAGCATGCACAAGAGGGGGTTAAGGCAGGTTCTTTATGAATATTGATAAATGACAATTATGAAGGCCCTTTCTCCTTTCATTGCCTGGGGCTGTGCCTGCTTGAGTACGCACAAGGCTCTTGCTGAAGTGTGTCTGTGTGTGCATGCGTAGGCATGAGGGTGTGTGACTTAGAGGGCTGAGGCAATGAATAAGAGCTTTGTCTGACTTTGCCTGGTGTTCTTCCTGTCAGTGCAGGGGGGTAAAAGGCTCCTTATAAAATAACGCTTCAAGATTTCACAGCAATAGTGCCAGAATCTCTGGTACATTCTTGCAGGCAGGAGCTGCAGGGCACTGTCAGTAATGGAAGCACGCTTTTAGGGAGAAATCTGGGGTGTCTTCGAGAAACAGGGAAAGGTGAAGAATGCCAGGTGCCATGTTCTGTCAGATAGTGCCACCCTCCTAGTGACTCCTGATTTGCCTTGCTTCATTTATGAGGCGCATGCTATAGTGTTCTGCAGGGGCAGTCTGTTGAAATCATGACTCAAGGCCTCCAAATGTGAAACTGGTCTAGAAATTGTGGCATTTAATAAGGTTGTTTTCTGGGTTGTTTTTCTTTCTGGTCCTTGAGTCTGTAGGTTTTCAAGTTTTCTTTCAGACCATCAGAAGTGAGGAAACTACCTTTTTCCCCTGTTGAGAGCTGAGATTCACCAATCATTTCCTGAATCCAGGAGTTTCAGATCTGTGGTTGAGACTCACTCTAAAACAGTGAGGAATTTTCAAATTTCCCTTGTACAGAGAACTGGAGAAAACCCATCAAGTACAGCAGCTGCAATGCCAAAGGCAAAGTTACCAGCTCAGCTAAAGTCAAAGGACATGTATTTTTGTAAGTTTACTTCTTTATATAAGCCACTGGAAACTCAAAAATGGCATAATCTTATTGTAAGCATAACCAGGTAACATTCTCTGGCAGGTACAGCAGTGGTGATCAGACCTGACAGTCTGTTCTGGCTTTGAAATACATGAATATATGTTTTGAGTCAAGGTTGGTAGGGAAGAACAATATATTTTAATAGATCAATGGAAATAATTGTTAAAAAGCAAGCAAGGTTTTATGCATACAAACCCTTCTCCAGGTCTCCTGATATGTTTATAGATGTTGTCCTTTTTCCTAGCTATAACTGTATTTATTTGTTCTGCAGAATTCTGTGAAAGCTTACTAAATTTGAGCATAGCAACCATGGCTCTAAACAAAGATTCTTCTGTAGGTAGATACAAGTTACATGTTCGGATCTGATTTGCAGAAGCAAGAGAAAATAAGATGAAAGGCTTTTTCTGCTCAAAATTAA